AACATATAAGTTAAATTTTGTTTATATGAATAAAAAAAATTTAAAGCATATAGTCTAATAGTAATCCTAGAAACTTTTTAAAATTGTGGATTTACAAAATTAATAACCATTTTTCAAGTTTAGTATATTTAATTAACAAAAATGGTTGTTCAACATGTACAATGTATTTTGCTAATTCTTGTCTCATTTTTTCTTGAAAATATTTAAAAGTACTAAACTCCCCCACCCACTTTGTGTTTGTGTTGTTTCTCTCTCTCTCTCTCTCTTCTTCTTCTTCTTCTTTTCTCATAGGTGAACAAATGTTTGCCCAAATGGATAATACCATATTTTCTATAATAGTTAAAGTTTTTCCTATATTTTTGGCAAATAGATTTTTTTCCCTTCTCCTGAACCTCCTCTACTTTAAATATTTTCCAAACTGGGTTAATCAACTTAATGGCCTTTTTTTTTTATTTCCCCTAGTATCAGTACTAGGGGTGGAAGTTCCATCAATATCAATAGTATCTATATTAGTGCTAATACTACCATGCTATGATTGAATATCGTTGACATTGAACATATTAAGGAATTGGTTTCAGGAGGAGCTGACCATTTTTTAAATTAAAAAAATAAAAATTAATTTAATTGCACTTACTTGGATTGTAAGCTTGAAATCCCAACTTAATTTCAACAGTTGAAGCCTTTCAACTTAAAGAGTCCAAGCCTTCCCAAATTGCTAACTTGAGATACTTGAGCCGTTGAACAAATATTCTTTTTGTTGAAACTTCAATAAAGTTGAGAATTGGAGAATCAGAGAATGTATGGGAGATTGAGAGATTGAGACTTGAGAGAGTATGAGAACTAGAGAAGAGATCAAGAGAATTATTGAATTGGTGTGATGAGAATGGTGAAGGATAGGGTTATTTATAGGAATTGAAAATAATTCAATTGCCCAAAGTACTCTAAAAACTAATCATCTTTTAATTGTTGGGAGGGATATTTTAGTCATTTTAAAGTTATTTATCAATGTACCCAAAATGCCTATAAACTAGCTGTTATATAGTTATTGAGAGGCGTTTATATCATTCTTTTTCCTTCCAAAACCAAAATATATAAATACCCTCTGTATATATAACTGTTTATAGCTATTACGAAACCCCAATGACTAGTCATTGAGCAGGCGGAGCATGGCCTGTTACGGACCCGCGGGCCATGCCGTGCCATGTCATGGACTTGGCCATGATGACACACGGGCCGCGGGCGACACGACAGGCATAATCGTGTAGTGCCGTGCCAGCCCGAACCATCGTATTGACTCAGGCATAGTCCGCTATCGTACTGGGTCAGGCCGTACCGGGCCATGGGCAACACGGCCCGATTTAAGAGTAAATATGAGGTGGGTCAACTAATAAATGCATATCTTTATATCGGTAAATGGTAAGGTCACTCACTCGTCAAAGACTCACTGGATTGATTAGCTTGTGACATGTGTTCGGGGTCTCGGGGCACTTGATTTATAATGTGGTTTCACGTCTGGCGAACGTGGTACAGTGCTAGGCCTTGAGCCCTTGATCTCGGTCTTTATTGGCCACGTGGGGGCCATGATGTCACCAGGTGGTGTTCCTATGGCTGTCAATTTTTCTTCTCGGCTTGACGCCCTTTCCTCCGCTCGATGGAGCAAGGTGATATGGTCAGTACATAGCATGAGATGACCGATGTTGACGTGGTGTTCTATTTGAGTAGAGGTGCTGAGAGTATGCATATGTTAGAAATGTGGATGCCAAATGTCAGGTGTTAATTGGTTCTTAGATCTGACTGTAATAATAATATAATTTAAAGAATAAAATAAACGGAAAAGTACACAACATGACCGCAGAATTCTGAATTTCACTGAAATTCTACACAATTCAAAATAACAAAATTCTACACAATTCCGAGTTGGTGCTTAACCCTACTGTGGGGCTAAGAATTCTCAAGGTGTGTGAAAAGTCATTCTCCCTAAAATAAAATGAGAAGAGATGATAATTAGTAAATTTTACTGCCTAGTCACTTTTGTCTAGATCACATCTACACCTCGCAACATGTTTCGAATTTGTCAATAGCAGATGTTTCAAATATATTTTTGATATATATGACGTAAATGTGAATTTACTTTTGTCGCCCTACAGGCGTCTCACATGCATAATGCATATATCATCGTGCATTGAAAACATTTCCATATTTGTGATTGTGGGAAATGTTCCTAATACACGGTAGGGCTGTATTGCGAAGCGCCCCGATGTAAACTCATTTTTGACAGATCAGTGATTGCAGTTTTGCAGCCCGGTGGCGGTGGTGTGCATGCATGCGCTCTGTTTTCTTGTTTATCGTCATAGATCTCTCACCAGAAAAGGAAACTCCGACACAAGGTTTGTGTTGCATACACTTGCACTTGCACATCGAACCTTTAAGCTAAAAGGTTTAAAGGTAGGAATCTCGTCCAAGTCAAAGTCAAAGTCTTGGTTCTTCAACAAATTCAGTTAAGCCAACACTTGGTGCATTTGACGTAAGTGTAGAACCTGGATATCTGTACTCAGCTGAACTTAGCTGTCTCTGTATACAATACAAGTAGTTCCCAGCACAAGCCATTGATTGCATCTTATGCTCAGCTCATGGGAAGCATCATTCCCCACTTTTATCTGCCGGTTGTCGGGTTGTCTCCTTCGGGGGAGTTGCCAAGGATGAAAATCCGGCGACTGAATATTTGCTGCTTCACAACTTTTCCTTCTCCTATGCTTATTCTTCAAACTTTAATCTACTGGCGGGTGACCAAAGAAAGACTCTATGTGCTTGTGAGATTAATAAGGGAAGAGCAATCATACCAGAACGACAGTGAAGATGCAATCACCTCTATTTCTATTTCTATTTCCACACAAATAAGTGAATTTTTCCCCTTTTTTTCTTTCTTACCCCTTTCCTATTTTCCTTTTTAATTTCTCCCGTTTTATTTTGGTGAACGCGTGGTCTGGTCTCATATATGGGTCTGACCCGAGATGATGCTATAGTTTAATGGGTCAAATTACCAAATTACATACCCATAAAATAAAAAAAGCATGGTAAGATGTAACCACATTAGCATCAAAAGAAGAGTATAATCATGTAATTTGCTGTTTATAATTGGGCAGTCTCTAAAAGGGAAAAAGCTTAAATCAGGTGATTAAAGTTAAAAGAAAAAAGAGAAAATTGTAAATCATAATCTTGTACTTTGGGCTTAGTTTCACCTATTATATACCATTAATCAGCTGTTAAATGGGATGTAAAAGAATACAAATGCTCTTTGGGTTTCACCTAATTTTCTTTATCAACTATCTAAATGCCGAAATGTCTAATAAGCTGATAAAGAAAAAAAAAAAAAAAGCGAATCCAGTGTCCAAAACAAGCCCACCAATACTTAAAAAAGTTAAAAGAAGAAAATTTTATTTGTCCCCTAAATTCATACAAATGCAAACAGAAGAAAGAAATGTTTTCGGGGGAAAACTCATGAATTCATACAAATCCATATCCAATTTCCTCTTTTTACTTTAAGCATCCCTGAACAAGATCCTTAATGTTAAAGGCTCCCCCAAAATCTCCTCCCTCGACCTCGCATACTTGGGCCCTGAGTCCGCCGAGACTATACTAGTTTCACCCCTTTCTTATGTGGTGGCAACAACCGAAATGAGTCAAATTCAGGCAGCTTCTTCTTGCTTGGAGGAAGCGGCTTTCTTCCAATCCAAGGCTGAGGCATTAATGTCCTTGGTCCAAACGGCACAAATGGTGGTTCACGCAATGCTAAGGGCTTCACCTTTGGTGTCTCAGTATAAATTTTACTGAAATTCAAATAACGCATTTGGGAATCTATACGAATCTCTGTTTCCCCCAACATTAACACCAGTTTCAGCCTTTGGAGGAATCGTTGGAAGCTTAGAAACCTTTAAAACTCGATGGAACGCTGAGTATGAGAATTCGGAGGCCAAAATTAGGTTTTTTGGAGTATTTTGAAGCTTTTCCAGGGCATGGTGAGCGAGAAAGAGAGGAAGGCATTCCGATGGACTTAAAGTTTTCATTGCTCGTGGTGGTAGTGATGATGGAGGTGTTGGTGGCCTCGTTATCATAATCATCGGCAATTCTTAAGGCTAAGTCGAAACGTCGCTCCTGGTGGATTTCGTCTTCGATTTCTTTCTAGGCGCATTCATGGCGGAGGAACCTCTCAGTGTTGGTGTCGTTCCAGCGAGAGAAATGAACTTTGGTGGTTGGACGGTGAGAAGGAACTTGTGGTGCGAAAATCGGAAAAGGGAAGGTCATCTTTAGCGACGTCTTTATTGGTTTTTTCTTGGAGTTTGGCCGGTTTTCCGATGGCGATGTTCAGTACTAGCTACCTTTGCTACTTGTTCTATTGGCCACTAGGTGAGAGTGAGCAAAGACACGGTTCATCGTCATTCTCATTCTGTTCAATCTTGAATTTTGAGAAAGAATGATAAATAGTGTTTTATTTTAAAGAATAATTTTGATATTTAAAAAAAAAAATTAAATTGTTTAATGGCAAAAAATAGAGTTTTTCTATAAAGGGATTTGCAGTCCACTTGTCCCTAAAAGAATTTAAATTGTACATATCATGTGATTAACGAACTAAATTGGAATATTTTAAAAATTGATTAATTAGCAGGTTTTGAAGTTTGGGAATCAAAATGAAACTATCCCAAAATAAAAGGGTACTGATTTGCAATTTTTCCAAAGAAAAACATCCAATTTATTGGGGTAATGTTTACCTTTAAACTGGGACCCATCTAATAGTGGATCTCATCTCATTTATGGCCTCTGACCCATTTACGGGTCCTAAAGCGTTCTCATATACTGTATCCTTTCTAGTTGATGGGCACAAACGATACAAATCCGACGGTCTAAAACTCTCGAGTAACACGATAGCGCCATTATTGGATATTTTTTTGGGTGAAACACCATTATTGGATCGGGACCGGGGACCCTAACTAAGGACGTTAAGTAAGGGCGGGAGTCCGGAGTCCCTCTGGGCTGTAGTTCTCCACCCTCCCCCGACAAATCGGTGGGGTGATCTCTCTCTCTCTCTCTCTCACACACACACGTTGAGTCATAGAGTCTTTCTTTGTTACCAAAGAAATATCTCACTTGTTTTTTATTACCGTTCTCCGTGCGTTACAACAACACAGCAACTGCTACTTTCCCTTTTCCTTCGCCCAGAAATTCTTCTTCCTGAACAAGTATCGTAGCGTCCCAGTCAATGAAGGTATGCTCCGAAACCCCTCTCCCTCTCTACACTCACCCATTTTAGAGTTCCGTGATCGTTCCTACCTTTCCTTTTCCTGACAGGTTTCTAGGGTTTTCTTTTGTTTCCTTCTCTTCTCTTCTTTTATTTATCTGGGGTTTTCTTCTTCTCCTATTCCTATTGATCGATAACGATCACAGATGCCTACTTTCTCAGCCGATATTCGCGAAGAGAGGCCGATCGATGATTGAAAACTGCGGATCGTTTGTTCTGATGGGTCGGAAAAAGAAGAACAAGCGGCTCTTGTTCAAAGGTTTGGCTTTTCCATCCCTATTTTTCCTTCTTATTACTTTTTTGGATTATTCGAAAATATTCTTAATCGGTACATGGGCGTGTATTTGGAGGCGCTGACTGCGTATCTCCCTTTGATTGAGTTGCAGAGTTGAGCCTGGGAGCCATTCTTTCGCGACGCCCTCTTTCTATTTAGTTTTAGTAGAAGATTCTTGACTTGATAATTCATTTCCGTTTAAGGATCCGTGCTTGGTGCATTCTGGAGTTAGCATTGGCTACTTTTGTTTAATCCAATACATCATTGGATTGCTTACATTTTTAATTCTAGGTGATTTTAGCTAATCGCAATGGAGTTGTTAAGGAAGAAGAGGAAAGGAAGTGAAACCCAGATTGATTGTTCAGATCTACAAGCGATTTTACCATCCAATCGCAAATCACCGTCTTCGTTGTCTGTCATTGGCTCACATTTATCATTGGAAGAATGTTCAAGGAGGAAGAAGAAATGCAAGGAACAGGTGTCTGCGGAATCTGTCCATTCAAGTAAAAGCAGACTCACTGGCGTTGTTACTGCTCCACCTTGTGGAAGCTCTTCCTCTGATTTACCTGGAAGAGGTCTCAAGAGGAAGATTGGTTGCATTGAGGCTGCTACTCAGATGGGAAGGAAGAAGAAGATTGAGCAGGAGTATGTTTTGGGTGCTGCGATTGGACAAGGTAAATTTGGGTCAGTTCGGCTGTGCCGGAGCAAGGTCAGTGGAGCGGAATTTGCATGCAAAACCTTGCCCAAAGGAGAAGAAACCGTACACCGAGAGGTGGAGATAATGCAACACCTTTCAGGCCACCCTGGTGTTGTGACCTTGAAGGCTGTTTACGAGGATCCCGACTCTTTCCATCTTGTGATGGAGTTGTGCCCTGGGGGACGTTTACTTGACCAGATGTTTAAGGAGGGGCGATGTTCTGAGCAGCGAGCCGCTAACATACTCAAGGAACTAGTTTTGGTCATCAAGTATTGCCATGATATGGGTGTCGTTCACAGGGATATAAAGCCCGAGAACATCCTTCTTACAACCTCAGGAGAGATGAAGCTTGCAGACTTTGGCTTAGCTGTGAGGGTTTCAAATGGTAATACACCGAAAGTCCATAGGAATTAATTCATGAATGCTATCCTTTTCACTCAAAACAAATTGTTATTTTCTCCTTTAGTTTCCTGACAGTTGTCTGTTTCTGCAAAGTAAGAGCCAGCAGATTTTATATGGATGTGGTGATTCTTTCAATGCTAGTTATCGTACTTCTGCAGTAATATGTTATTCTCTTCAATGGTTGGTTTAACTAGCGGAAAATAGAAGAAATTCGTGTTCTTGTGAACAGTTTGATAAAATCCTAATCCATTTTATCTAAAACATTTTTCCATATGATTTTGAATATTGTTTGTTATAAGATTTTAAGTTTCATTTAAATTTTGAAAAATGTAATATGTTCCAGTCTTGGGATTCCTTATTTTAAGAGATTTGTGCAAAATAGAAAGGGTTTGTGAATATTTAGATTAGATTGAGAGAGAAAAAGGGTTTAGATATCATAATTTTGAATTTCTTCCATAGTTCCTTGCAAAGCTTAATCCCATAGCTGTTGGACATGTCATTGTCATTCTTTTTTACGTTTCTTGTACAACTGGAAGATATCATCCTTGTCTTAAAAATTTAAAATCTGTGAAGCTATTTATTTTGGTAGGTCTCATACCCAGAACAAGGAAGTAGACAACAAATCACTTATCTCCAGGTAGACATTTGGTTTACCCCATCGTCTCACCCTTGTGGATTTCGTTTCCATAATTCCATGTCTTTCAGTTTCCAGATGAAAGGCAATATATGGTGATAGTAAGTATCACTGAAGATCAGGTGGGCAGTGGTCTCCACTGTTGAAACACCTCATCAATCGGAAAGAACATTCTCTCAGTTTCATTATATTTTGTCTGTAAAAATTAGTTATCCATCTTATGCAGTTTTGTCCTATGACTGTCCATGGGCCACAATAATCTGTTCCTTCACTAATAAGAATGACCACCTAATCTAATTGTTTGGTTTGTGTTTGTCTAACAATCTGAAGTATGATCTTTGTTTTCCTGGCTATGAAGGAGTAATTCCTTTATTCTTTTCCAGTTTAGCTAATAAGGAAGTAGAGATTATAGTTCTCCTAGTGCTCTACTCTTTTGCATGTTGCACATATATTATGCTTATTCAAATGAATGATTTAGATGTAGATTGGTATTTTGGTCTTTTGGTGGGTTTATTAGTTAAAACAAAACCCCCTAAACAGCTGGGGCTCTCTGTGGAGGGAGAACACATTCCAGGGAACATGTTGAGATATGTAAAAGAACCTTTTGTATCAATCAATATCTTCCTTGTCATGTAAGCAACTTGAGAGTTTGGCAAGCTGTTGCAATTGTTGTCCACTTGATTTCTTTTTCTCAAAATGAGAAAGAAATGATTTTTCATTTAGTAATATGCATCCTTGTCAATATATTTCTGCTGTTTGTGTTAAAAATTCTAGAAGTTGTTCCGCATAAGTGATCCTGGCATGGGCCTAAATCTCCAGTGATGGCAATGGCCAGCAGTTGAACCTGACACCTTTTTGATTTCTAAGATATCAGCTTGTTAGTAGATGTTCAATGTGACGAATCATGTTGTAAGTCATATGGGTGGAAGATGCTATGGATCTCGTCTTTGTTAACGTGTTATCTTTTGTCAATGTATTAATAGTGTCAAAAAGGAAAAGAGAAAAAGTGGGTCATGTAATAAAGCAGCTTGCTTTACAATTTTGTGTGATATATACGTCAAAGTGTATGCATCAACCTTGGAGAATCTTTTTCTTCCCTTTCCATTTACACGTATTGTTAATTTGCCAATAGTTTTCCTTTGCTGTTTCTAAAAGAGCTGTTTGTTTGCCACAGGTCAGAAACTATCTGGTGTAGTGGGTAGTCCAGCCTATGTTGCTCCAGAAGTTCTGCTGGGAGACTATTCTGAGAAAGTTGATATCTGGGGTGCTGGTGTACTACTACATGCGCTCTTGATTGGTGCCCTTCCATTTCATGGAGATTCATTGGAAGCAGTTTTTGAGGCAATCAAGAAGGTAAAGCTTGACTTCCATAGTGGGATATGGGAGTCGGTATCCCGACCTGCCCAGGATTTAATTAGCCGAATGCTAACAAGAGATGTTTCGGCAAGGCTAACTGCGGAGGAAGTACTAAGTAAGCTCTGATTGTGCTGTGTTTTCCTCTTTTTTTTTTTTTCTCTGGTGGTTTTCTTGTTTCATTATATTAAGAGTCAAGTGAACATTGCTTTCAGGACACCCATGGGTTTTGTTCTACACGGAACGCACGTTGAGGACACTACAGATGAAATCAAAAGTGAGAAACCATATAGGATCTTGCCGCCAACTCACTAACGTGGCTAGGGTGGAGCCGGAGAGAAAAAGGATGGCCAGTGTTCTTGTCAGTGATGGCCTGAGTCCGGTTTCATCATTTGATAGTTTTGGTCGGAAGTCGGATGAACAGGACGACTGTGGTTTGGTTGATGTGCTTGCAGTAGCAATTTCACGTGTAAGAATATCCGAACCAAAACGGAGCAGGCTGTGTGGCCCAGCAATTCCCATCCAACAGGAATGTTCCTCAAAGATGAAGGCTAACAATCTCTGTACAGCGTTTTGATTCTGCTGCATAACAGCTGACACCAACATTATTTTCGCTAGAACTGGAGGATGACTTACCGTGACGCAGCAGCAGCTTATACAGCAAAACAACTACGACGAGTTGACTCTTTTTAAGTCTTAACCAGAAACAAGACAACTGGTGGTTCGCCTTTTCCACCCAAAAATTAGTCTGTGTATGTTTACCTTGTCTACGCCTAATCTGTCTAAAGTGGGCAAACTGATTATGTACAGAGATCTTGGTGTAAATAGGATGGATGATAAGAGGATCCGTGCGTCTGATATTTCTTTAATGTTTTGTTTGTGCAGAGCCAATGAATGTTTCCCTAGGACCAAAACTAACGAGGTCATGTGATGACTAATGGAAGGACCACAGCCTTGTACTGCATCACTGCATGTATAAATATGGATATGATGCTTGCCCTCATCATGTTTCCTGGAGTTGTTTTCCCAGGCCTAGCTAGTTCCAAGAGCAATATGCTAGCAAAAGAGGACCAAGTATAAACTGGGATTCCTCCACACTAAAAAAAGGAAAAAAAACTTTTAGGGTATGTTCATAGGCATGTCTAATTATCGCTGCACTAAAACCATGTCCTTGCATTGTGATTCAATGTGCAGGATTTCACCACCCATTCAATTAATTATTAATTATTAATGTTTTCTTTATCAGCCATCACATCTTATGTTCTTTGTTTTGTAAACCTCATAAAGCTTCAATTAATTGTAGCAAAACATTACTGTTTACGATATTATATTTACAAACATTATAAGTTAGTTCATGCGCAGCCCTATTCATATTTCTATTTACATGGGCTATTACAGTTATGTCAAAAAGGATAAGAGTTATAGAATATTATGCTTGATGTTGTGAATTTGCCACTCTATTTCTTTATTGATGTGGCTCATTGTGACACTAGCAAGTGCATTAGCCGTTCAAGTAATAAAGTAGTGAGTAAAGTATCGTTCCCATAAGGATTTAGGAAACAATTACTAATATTAAATTGATCATTTCTTATCTGATCAACAATGAATCAAAACTTTATTCAAAAGCTAAAAATCCTGAACTAAAATTTATCTAAATTATTGGCTCAATTGCCTTCAATTCAGGTTAGAAAAGTAAGCAATTAATGTTAATATCAGAATTCAACAATCACCCAAATTGAATCATTTGAATAGATTGTGATTGAGCCTTCGTTTAGTGAAACCCCAAGGTCATGAACAACCTCTTTCAAGCGTATGTTCATCCTATGCATGAGTGACGGTTCTTCTATCTCTAACAAGAATCTAATCATTCATGTATGCATTTCTTCAAATATTTCTAAGGTATCAATTCAAATATGGATTGATTACCAACTGAATTGTGCAAGTTATCTCTAACCTTGCATCAAATTCAGTTCTTGAATAGTAGATCTGAATTCCTAAATTCTTTCTCAAACACTATAAGAATTTCAAGCTTAGATCAATTCGGCCAATCTGAAAATTTGCAGATCTGAATTCTCTTTCAAGCAATCCAGATCTTGCAATCTCAGATCTGAGTTTTGAAAGTTTAATTGGCTAAATTGATCTACAATTAACCCCTATTCAAAAAACTTCAAGAACAATTTACACCCATTCGAATAAATAAAAAAGAAATTGATTGCTGATATGAAATTTACAAACTTAATTACATCAAGAAAGAATGGAAGAGGGAGAAAGAAAAAAATTACAACAAGGAAGCTAAATTCGAATCAAAGGAAAATGAAAATAGAATGGAATTATTACAATAGATTTCTGAAAAAAAAAAACCCCGATTTTGAACTCTTCTCGCTAGCTTGACTTGAACTCCTTCAGCCATTCTTCTCCTCCTTGCACCTAGCCCATCTTCTCTTCTCTTCTCTTCAAGGTGTTCGAACCTTTAGGAGTGGGAGAGCCTTGATCTCAAGCAATTGAACACCTCTCCCCCTTTAAAGGTTTCCTTATATAGATTTTCAAGGGAGCTCTTGCCCCTTCTTGAAGCCTCTAAAATGGAGTGTATTACACTCCCCTCTTGAACTTTCTAGAGTGCTCTCTTAAGAGCCTTCTAAGGATTGCCGCCCCTAGCTCTTTGGACTGTTATTTGGGCTGCACTTAGGCTCCCTCTTAGCACATGATAACTATACTCTAGGCTGCTTTTTTGGGCTGAGAATGAGATTTCTCTACTGGGCCGAATTTTATTCTTTGCTAGGCTTTCTTTTCTTGGGTTTTTTCAAAGAATTAACTTGTACCTCTTGGGCCGAAGTGTGCTCTCTTACTTCCGTAACCGGGCTGGGATGAATTTGGTCTTTTTGGACATTGTTTTTTTACCTTTTACCTTCTTTTTCTTGAATAAATTACCCTTAAATCTTTTCTTAGTATTAAGCTAAATTAAGACAAAATTAAATAAAACCGATATAATAATCAATGCAAAGACCTCATAAATTATAGATAAATTATATATTCATTATTTATCTATATAGATACTGTTTATCACGCCTTTTGAGTCAGAAAATATAACTACTCTCTTCATCTTCATCTTTATGGCATATTGAATGCCATGTAGAGCCCACCATTCAGCTTGAAGGTAACTATTAAAGAATTACCATTTATGGCATGTAGAGCCCACCATCTTTATGGCATCTTTATGGCATATAACTTTAGGTAACTATTAAAGAATTACCATTTGCCAACATGCCCATGTCCTACCTATTTTTATTCCATTTCTTTTTAACTCCTACATTTTATTGTATGAAGTGATAGAGCCAACTATTTTGCCCATGTTTGTGTATCCCATTACCCAAAAGGAAAGTTATTGTATAGCATACAGAGAAAAACTACCCCTCCGTGGAATCTGAAAGAATCTTATCAATGATTGTTATATGATATGCGAAAGGGAGGGCTCAGATAGAATATAAACATACCCTCTGAGAAGGCAATTATGCGGCAGACTATCTGGTTAAGGCTGTTAAGAATTTATCTCTTTTTTGTAATTGAAAATTTAGTATTTATAGAATCATTTTAACAAATAAGTTCTTAAAATAAGGAATGCCAAATGCAGCTCAAGAGGGATCATAATCTCACTTTAATATCAAGAGGACTTAAGGATTAGGAAGTAGGAACTAAGGGTGTTAATGGACCGCTTTTGGATTGAATCCTGTCCAGTCCAAAATCAATTTGAATGGATTGGACAGACCAATAAGACATATTGGATTGGACTAATCCAGTCCAAAATATTTGTTAGATTGTATTGGATCTGATCTGTCTGCATTAAATTTATATTAGATTGGATTGAATTAAATCAATATCTGGTCTATTGATATAAGATAAGAATATAAGTGTTAATGGACCGAATTTGCATTGAAACCAATCTAAATTTAAATAAATTTGAATAGATTAAATGGTCCAAAAATTAAATTGGATCGGTCTAAAATGATCCAAAATATTCATTGGACTGTATTAGACCTAATCAATTTGTAATAGACTCACATTAGACTAGATCGGATTGGACCAAATCCAGTCCAATTGACAGGAACTAGCTTTGTTATGTTTGTTTAGCTGATGCGTGAGGGAGACTCTCGTCGAGAGGTTCTTAATTTTGTATCACACTACTACCAAAAAAAGTACTTCATTGTGCATAATTAAACTACATGTTACGGTGTACATTAGTAATTAATTATTGAATTGCTATTTCTACATAAAATTATAAACGTGCATAATTAATTGCTAAGATGATATTAATATAAATTTGTATCAATAATGTCGTAGGCTATGTAGTCAAAATGTTAAATAATCGATGGCATTTGAATTTAGGGTCCGTATGGTTTGCAATTAGAATGGGAGTCAGAATAAGAATCAGAATTGCCTATTCCCTTGCTTGTTTGGTTCAGATAGTAATCAGAATTAGTCCTATTTATGGATTATGTTTTGTGCTCTGCCATGAACATTTTACATTACTTAGGCTGCGTTTGGAACGATGCAAATGGAGTGTAAATCCTGTTTAGGGTAAATTTGCATTCTAGTTCATTTTTGTTTGTGTTTGGCAACATTACATTTATGCATTGACAAATGACAGATCAATGTATATTTACATTGATAATAAGATGCAAAGGCTGTGTTTGGAAACGATGCAAATATGTAGAGTGTAAAGTGGTTCATATAAATTGCAAAGTTGGGTTAATTTTGCACTAACAAATTTAATTTCTTACCAAACAAACTTTTATCTTCCCTTAACCCCCCTCCCCCCAACCCTTGGTGGCAGCGGGATTTGATCCCAGGTCTCTACTCCGACGAGTCAGAGAACCTACCAACAAATTTACTTCTTTTTTATTGATATACTTTTACATCTTATTATCAGTGTAAATATGCATTGGTCTGTCATTTGTCAATGCATAAATGTAATGTTGCCAAACACATGCAAAAGTGAATCAGAGTGCAAATTTACCCTGAACTAGGATTTAGACTCCATTTGCATCGTTTCCAAATGCAGCCAAAAGTACATCAATAAAAAAGAAGTAAATTTGCATTCAAGTGGGCTTTTGATAAAAATAAAATATGCTTTATTGAAATTCATGTTTACATCTATTATAGCTAAAAGTCTGTTTGATAAGAAGGTAAATTTGTCAGTGCAAAACTAACCCAACTTTGCAATTTATATGAACCTGATGTAGCGCAATCCAATCACTCCTAACTGGCACTCGTGTGGCTCCCAGAAGACACCTGAGATGAGGAAGAATAAGAAGGATCCCTTGGGGGGCTGCCCGGCGGGGACACTCCGATGCTTAAGTCAGTATTCGGTAGAAGCAAGGAAAAGACGAAAGGCTAAGAGTGTAGATAGCGCGCTACCACTATGTTCAAGAAGTCATAGATTCAAGAAGAAGTTTCTCTTCGGCCCTGAGGGCTTTTTTAGGGACACTCACATTAGGTCGGGCATAACCACCACTGGGCTCCTGCCACAACCGTTACCCGCCAGGGCTGCGCAGGTGGTCGTTGTGGCGTACACCTCTCCCGGGTGAGTGACACGTTTCCAAAGTGGCAGGCATGCCTTTGCCTGGTGAGAGACGTGGACGCAAACTGTCGAAAGGACTGCGACTACGCCGTCAGTAGAGGATATGGCGCAGTCTGACCGGTACGGTTTGTCAATCGGAAGCTTCCTGAAGAGCGCTAGTGCGGCTCGTTTGCGAGCTACTTTCTGCTGAGCTCGAAACACTCTAGGATTACCCTTAATGGAATTGGCCCTCGGAATGACTCGTCCGTTGGGGAGCTCGGACGAGCTAATAACTTTATCTCGCAAGCTAAACTT